GAGCCGCTGCTCGCTGCCCGCGCCGGCTCCAGGGCGGGACAGCGCAGCGCCCGCCCGGCCGCGCGGACCCAGCAGTGCAGAGCCGCCGAGCAGGCTGACTTCCAGGAGCGTCCTGGCCTCGGTGCCGCTGCGAGGGCGCCGGCTCCTCGGGAGCAGAGCCGGGACCCATCCCTGCTGGTGCGAGGGAGGCCCGCGTGTGGACCCAGCGGCCCTCGGTCTCAAGCGCCAAAGGGCCCCTTGCAGGCACCAGAACACAACCTCGGACCTTCCATGCTGTGAATTCCCCCTCCCCGCAACACCTCCAGAAAGATTTTCTGCCCGAAGCTGTCTGCGGAGTGCCTGACAGTGTCTGAGGGGAAGCGCTGCATCTCTTCTCTTCGAAAGGAAGAGTTTCGAATATGTCTACAAGGACATGGGCATTTCAGAGGACAAAGGGTATTTAAAAGTGTGGAGTCTTTTAAACTTTAGCTGATAAATCAGTGTCTGTGTTTTGCCCAGTCTTATTTCAAGATCCAGAGTTTTAGATGCTTCTTTTGAAACACAGGAAAGTGTATTTGTAACTTTTAGTCTTTATTCTCTGGGTTACACATGTTGCTGCTCAGCTTGCTACAGACTAAAAATGCAGCAGAATAAAATCTATTTGCTGCGCAACATAAGTATATTCCTCTACTTTTCATAACATACTTCAAAGCTATAATTTTCTTTCTATCTTTTACTCTAAATTCCCCTTGATTTGTCTTTTTTTTTTTTTCCTTTGCTATACAGTGAAGTTTGACTTTTCCTTTAGGAATTTTTAATTTGTCTTTTTAACAGGTAACTAATTTTTCTCTGCTCTAATTGAATAGCGCAAGTACTGCATTGATTCACAGCTTACAAGCTTACCAACTTGTGACCACTTTACCTGGGGAAAGGTGAAAATTTTCATCTGCATATCACACATTTCTATGCAGGCCTCTACTCCCTGTTTCTACTTGGCTCCATTATCTCCCTGTGATGGTTAATTATGATTATCAACTTGATTGTGTTAAGATAAACCAGTACATTACCAAAGGACACTTCCTAGGGGGACTGGGGATTTAGCTCAGCGGCACAGCGCCTGCCTGGCAAGCACAAGGTCGTGAGTTCAATTCCCGGTACCGGAAAAAAACCAAAAAAAAAAAAAGAACACTTCCTAGGCCTTCCTGTCATGGTGGTTAGGAGGGAAGTTTGCCTTGAGAAACCTGCTTGGTTGCTGTCCCCTTCCTCTTGAGCCATCT